CTTTCTCGTCTTCTTAGTGTTCCTTGCGCGCGTCAAAGCTTCTTTTCGTAATTTACACCGCCCACACGTCTCGCGTCCCATCGGACACTCGGGAGCAACACAAAACGGTGAAATTCCACGTTGCGGAATTTGGAGAAGAGAGAGAGAGAGAGAGGGAGGGAAGTCGAGCGTTGTCGGAACGAGCCTCATTCGCGTGCGGGATTAAAATTCGAGTCCCACGGTACACGGTAGTCTTGCGTTCTCAGACACGACTGTTTGGATCCCTTTCACGTAAGGACGAGAGGGAAGCGCGTTTAAGCGCTTCGCGGAACCCTTTTTTCGTCCCTCCCCCTTGAACGTCACGCATGTGTGTATAATACGGCCGCGGGTGAATGATGACGCGCACACCGTCGAATCTCTCGTCAAGTATCTATGGGAAAAGCATCCGCACGGCCTTCGAGATTGCCTCTCGAGAATCGACAGCTACTGTAGAAAATGATAGACGTCTCGCGGTGTAAAGTCTCGGGAATATAACACACATTTTTTTTTATTTTTTTCGAATTCTTAGATCATATCTCGACGGAGAACACGACAGAAGATTGCCGGTGTATAAGAATCATACCTAGCATAATTTTGATAAGTACCTATAAATTTTTATTGCGATTGGTATGCAAAAGAAATTACAGAAAAACGTCAAACTACTCACAAAAAGATGTATCTTTTTTTAATTCGATGGATGACTAGGAGCTCTCGTCAAATAAAAAAATTATGATTATTTGGAATTTATTTGCCGAATCTTGTATATATATATATATGTTTAATTCATATTATATGTAAAGTTATTCGAGGGTAATTTACATAACTTTCAATAAAACATAATACCGATTTCGACGCACTTGTACAACAGCTTGGCCGCGCGATGATCGATGGAGGAAAATGAATGCGCGCAAAGAAAGGCATGATAAATTCCCGCGTGCCTGGTGTCACGACGCGCGTAAAAATCCTTAAATTGCACGCATCGTACGCGGAGACAAGCCCATTATCGCGGGAAGCAGCCGGAGAGAGGACGTCGTGCACTTGTGGACACATAAGAAACGGTGTGACATTACTCGTGCATCATCAAACGATAATCTCTGCGCGATCTAAAAGAGAAATAATATACGGGGACGTCACAGCTGTCGCGTTGACGTTTGATTATCGACGGGAGTAAAAATCGGAAAATTATACTTTGCAACATAACGGTACGTCGTTATTCGTTATTCATTGTCTTTCTATCCATATGATTTCAATTAACTTCGTGTTTGGATACCATGTCGTCCATTTTCTCCACAAACGTCGTTTAGCATCTTTGCGAAAATCGGATTTTTACTCAACACGTATGCGTATATGTCTTGATAAACTGAATTAATTTTCATAAAATATATATTATCTCGTTAATACGCATGTATAATAATTAAACAGAAAGAATAAATTTTTTAGCCCATGCATTGTTAATTTATATTTAATAAATGTCTATTCTATAATAAATGTTATATACGTATATACTATCATTGAAGAAAAAAATAGCTGTAATTATGATAAATTATAATTATTTTTGGCAATTATATTAAAAATCATTATTATATTATGCAAAGTTATTATTATTGACATTCTAATAGTAATAACTATATAAAAAAATAGGAATCTGGACTATAATTTTTTTCCTATGCAATTATAATTGATCCTCTTTCTCAATGATCACAATTACTCTTTCTCTTTTTAAGATTTTTCGATCAGTTTGGACTACATATCTTCTTTCTATGGTACTAAATTATAGAATATTTTATATACAAGTGACGCATTCTCTTCTTATTTTACATATATGTATACTGTTTATTTTATGAAAAAAGGCGCACAAATAGCTCCGTAAGATCTGCCGAGAACTGCCGAATATACCATGACATCGCCGAAATCGATTCTATCAAAGAGAACAAAAACTTTGTGGCAGCGCCTATTATATCTGGCGGCGTGATCGCCAGCATTCGTCTGACATTCTTTATTTTTGCGGTTAGCCCGGGGCGAGAAATAACGACGTCGTTCCCGCGATCGAATCCAGAGTGGCGGCGGTCACGAGTGTCCGCCGTCACGGCGAGTGTATTTCGCGCACACATTTCCGGCCGTGTGCGTATGTACGCATACGCGGTGGCGCGTGCGCGTGCTTGAAGAAATATACACGGGACGCGAAAAGCGTCGCGGCGCTGGGCGTCCTGCGTTACGTCCGCGAGACTCGTCGGAATGCATAAATATACAAATCACAAAAAGAGAGCGCAAGAGAGGGAAAGAGAGAGAGACTCACGCTCCATATACGCGGCCACCCCGAATTTATAAGAAGCCGTGACTCCACACGAGCGCGATATACGTGACGTGGAATCGTGTGAAACGTCGAAAGCGTATCGCCAGATTTACGTTCCTCTCGGCAGGATACGTATCTCACCGAGAGGGGCCAAGACGAAAAGTTTAACTTTTGTCAAGTAACATGATCGCGGAGCGAAATCACGACAAAGAAACATCCGGAGGAAATAGAGAGAATTAAACAAGAAGGAAACGACTCTTAGGTCTTGAAAATATTTCCTAAAGTAATCGAAAATTATAATGTAATGCGTGTTTTTAATATATAATTACGTATTATTTTTTTGCGACTACTCCCGTTAACTTATTTCCAGCGAAAGAGAAACGAATTTCGAGATTGATTGGAATTTGTCGAGAGATCAAATTATTCTCGTATTGTTAAGGATGTTTTGTATGTACAATCCCAGCAAAAAGTAGCTGAAAATCAATATTGATAAATATCCACTTTTGGTGTATTTTGAGTATGAGAAATTGTGTGGAATATATAATATTACAATTTGATGTTAACTACTAATTGGAATATATAATATTACAATTTGATGTTAAATACAGCGCAGAGATGTATTTTTTAATATTTATTGCGTTTTTATTGAAATATTCCGAATTTTGTTAATCGAAATGATTAACTTTTGGCAGAGAATTTCGCCTGTGACAGATACATGGCTAACTTCATTAAATTATATTTAATATCTTTTTAACCAGTTAGTACTTGTATAATATTATTTGACCAAATATTTCTTCTGTATCTAAACTTTTGCAAATTTTGAACAAATTCTGAAACAAATTCTGAATATTATTTCCATGTGTTTTTGTCATTTGAATCGACGTGGTTATACGTTTCCCATAAGAACACATGTTAATTTGATGCAAATTAAAATCCTTATAATTTGTGAACGCTTTAGTGAATCGATTTAAAAATTGTACTGAAGATTCTAAAACATATGTAAGGACATTCTGTACAATTTTCATTAAATTCTCAATATTTTGAAAATAGGTACAAAACATCCGTAAATACATGGGGTCTTTTAATAGAGCGCGATGACAAATCGCTGAAATTCGATCGCAAAAAGGGGGATCGTTAATAGCAGGTACGAGAGGAAGACAGATCGAGTATGTACATACAATACATCCGTTGAGATGCAAGGTTAAATCCTTAACGCGTTTAAATGCAATCTCGCTGCTAACAGGCAAAGCAGAACTAATTACCCGCTACATTAAGCATCATCAATCAATCCTTTTTATTTATCAGCCGGTTTTTGCGCATTCCATTTCACAAAAGTAACGGACCGCAAACGGGACGCCTGACCTTCTGCGGTTGACAATACGAGAAGCATTTTTCTCGTGATGATATAATTACAGCCGAATAAGAATAAATCATTGTCCACCGCCGGCGATTATGCGAATCGATCGACGATATCGCGCGTTCTTTGCCGCGTGATTTGCGTATTTACGCAATTTCCCGCATAGGTTAAACAGTGTAATCGTCAACACCGGCAATTTACCAAGACAGGTAATGAACGTTGTAGGAAACCGCTTCGAAAAAGTCCCTTGTCCTTTGTTTCATCGTGAAAAAGATAAATTATCAGAATACATTGTTGCGATTTTGCTTAGAAAATCTTATGTATATAAAAAATAATTACAATTCAGTAATTTTTTCCTTAAAAAGAAAATAATGTATAATAATTATAATTTTTCAACAACGTTCATCATTAACAAGAAAATAAATATATAAATATGCAAGTATTTTCAAGAACAAAAGTGATTTTTAATGGAATTTTTATATTTTTTACAAGCTTTGATTTTCTAAATTTTGATAAGATAATAGAGCTATTTTATATAATATGGTATAGTTATTTTCTCTCTCTCTTTCTCCGCTCGTTTTCTTGAAATAAATTCAAGTAACGATAAAGCGATACGAGGCAAATCCCGTTTGAGCAGGTGCTAGAAAGATGTACAACACAGAGAAAGGTACACGCTATAGAAGTGTCTATAGACGTATCTATGGTACACGATACACGTAAAAACACATGGAAACATATGAATCTGATCGCGCAATCTACACCGCGAATAAATGTCAACGCTAATGTAATTTTGAAGACTCGCATGATTCAGGAAGTTTTTAAGAAAAAGAATTTATTCATACCATTTTAAAAACGTGTCGACATCAGCTACACAAGAATATATGATAAAAATTTAGAGTTCCTATTTGAAAAAAGTTCTTGAAAGAAACCTTGACATGACTTTGACATACCCAACATTACACAAACGCAATCATCTAATGCCTCCCTCGAAAATAAATGATTTTTTTATTTGATTATTTTATCTTAATTTATTTTACAGTACCGGTCAAAAATATATTACCTTTATATTTTTTAAATTTTTCTTGGGTTTATCTGTTTTCAAATAAAAAGTTTATTGTTCAGTAATTTATATATTAAACATATAACTTTTTATTCAATAATGAAAACAGATAAACTCAAGAAAAATTAATTAAAATATATGCACTTTGAATGAAGTTATCCTCAAAAAATACAGATTAAGATTAGAAAATAAGATTAAGAATAACTTAATCTGTCGACGGAAGGGCTCTTCAAGTTCGAAGAGAGATACTTCATTTCGTCCTCTGTTCGCAGGACTCGCAGAACGGCCCGGTGCTGGACCGATGGAGTATCTGCTCGGCTGAGGAGGAGCCGCTGGTTCTACAGCAGTTCCTCAGGTTCGCCGAGACGCGTCCGTTTGTGCAGCAGCTGCTGCTGGCCGCCGGAACGCCGGGTACGGATGCTATGTCACCGAGCAGACGACCTTCGCCGCCGACGATGCCACTAGCACACTTGCCACCCCCGTTGCATATGCTACATTGCGGGCTACCGCCGCCGGGTTCCCGGCTGCCGCCCCCGCTACCACCGCCCCCACCCCCGCCGCCGTCGTCGATCTCGCACTCCTCGATGTCGCCGACGGCGCAGAAGCACTACTCGACGAATCCAATCGGCGGCGTCAGCAGAGCGAATTCACCACCGCGTTCCCTGGACTCGCATCTAACGGTATCGCCGCTGAATCGACTGCAGAGCATGCAACCGTTCGACTTTCGGAAACTGGGCACTCTCGGATTGCCGGCGTTTCCGCCGTTGCCGCCACCACCGCCGTCCGCGGAGCAGCTTCTGCAAAATCGGAAGTCCATGAGGAATCAGCAGAGTCCTCACAGTCCGCCCCATCATTCGTCCGCGGCGTCGCAGCTGCAGAGGCCGCACATGCCGGTCGCGCCTGTCTCCTCGTCGGCGTTGACCTTCGGCCATCCGCTCTCGGTCGCTGTCTCTTCCGGCGCGCTACCACCGAGCTTCCCGACGCACTTCCCGCCACCACCGATGGGGAAATCGCCCGGAGGGATCGGATTAACTGTACCCACGGACGTGCACAGCGGTGGTGAGAAGAGCAGTGAGTTCGGCTCGGAAGAGGACGACGACGACGAGGAGAATTCGGACAGCGCGCTGAATCTGAGTAGACGAGACTCCGCCTTGTCGAAGCACATCATTTCTTCCGATCAACGACACCCGCCGTTGTCCCTTCAGGGCGGACCATTGGGCAGGCCATCCGGTATACCTGGCAGGAAGCCGCATTCGCCGGGCAAACGACCGGGCAGTCAGTGGAGCACCGCCGCGAACTTACCGCCGAATCTCGGTACGCCCTTCATCAATCCCACGACTGGCAAGAAACGCGTGCAGTGCAACGTCTGCCTCAAGACCTTCTGCGACAAGGGCGCACTGAAGATCCACTTCAGCGCGGTGCATCTGCGAGAGATGCATCAGTGCACCGTCAAGGGTTGCAGCATGATGTTCAGCTCGCGCAGATCGCGCAATCGACACAGCGCCAATCCGAATCCGAAGCTGCACTCGCCGCATTTACGTCGCAAGATCTCGCCGCACGACGGCCGCTCTTCCATGGCGCACGCCCTGGTGTTGCCGCCGCAGGTCGGACTCCCCGTACCGGCCACCGGACTGAATCATTTGCCGTTCGGCACGTTTCCGTTGCTCACGCCGCCACCGGATCTTCGCTCCCCAGCCTCGTTATGCGCGTTGGACTTCAAGCACTTAGATCTGTCGTCTACGCAGGGCCAGGGCAGACCGTATGACGAGGCTCTGCAGCAGAGAATGTCGGTGAACGCGAGTCTATCGACTACCACCACGGCCTCGACGACCATGCCGGTGGCGATGTCCACGAGCGCAGCGATCACCACGACCACGACACCGGCACGAAGTTCGTATCCTAGTGGCGGCACAGTCTCGCCGTCCACTCAGGCATCGTCAGGCATGATACCGGAAGGCGAGGAAGATGAGGACGACGACGATGGCGGTATCGTTGTGGTCGCGGAGGATGAAACTAGCAATCTGCCATCCAGATTGCCGCTTCGCGTCGACGACGACGAACAGCCGGCCGACTTCAGTCTAGCGAAGCGGCCGAAACTCTACTTTGGCGACACTGCCGATGAGGATCTCGCTAGCAATCCGGATAGTAATGAGGACAACGACTCGATGGGCACGGTCGATCAGCAGTCCTTCTCCGTGAACCAACATTCACTTAACTCGAGTTCCTTCCATAACCGAGGTGTACGCAAGAGAAAGTCCCAGCATCCTACGAGATGTGCCGTGCCGGTAGAAGTGCATTCCTCGTCCACGGACGGTGATTCTTCCAACGACGAGGAGCAGCGGATTCAACGGCGTTGTCTGTCGGACAGCGTCGTTGCGCCGGCGCCGATGACAGAGTTTCAAAATCAACCAGAAGACATGTCGATGTCCAGGCTCGAGGCGGAAGAACGGAAGATACTTCCTGGCTCACCGAGAAATCTCAGAGGCGGTTTTCATGAATCGGACTCGCGCTCGCCGGATGCCGCTAATAGAGAGCGCGAGACGACAGCGTCCGTTAATAATCGGCGCGACACTATCTCTTCCCAGGACAACGCGGAGGATCCACTTCAAAACGAGCCACGAGACTTGAGCTCGAGAGCGAGTAGCATCAAATCGCCGAAACGACAGATCACTCCGGAACCAAAGAACGACAATGCACCTTCGTTGAGCACGCCAAGTGGAGCGACGACAACGACAACTTCGGCAGTTGCGGTGAAGAATTCTGACGCCACATCGTCCGAGCAGAAAGATCGGCAACAGAGCGCAGAGAACGACGAAACGAAGGGAAAAGAGGAGTCAATCGCGAAGAAAGAACCTGCCGAGACGTCTGCGCAGGAAGAGAAGAAAGCAGTGAACGAGGTGGAGCACCAGGAGGACGAGGAGGACGACGATGATGAGCCCATGGAGGAGGTCGAGGAAGATGAGGAGGAAGAGGAGGAGGATGCGGACGACGCGCTGCGCAATCAAGAAGGTGAGCGTCCCGATGATCCCCCCCGTGCCCCGAGCTCGGTCGACAGCCGTCCGACGACAGCCGACGACCTCTCCCACGACTCCTCGATCAACACTTTGCGTCAACTCGAGTCCTTGTCGCAGGGTCGATGCGCGATGCCGTACGCCGAGACGCAGCGGGTGGCTTCGAGGTCTGGCCGCGGCTCTACCAGCCCTATCAGCCTCACGATCCACCAGGAGACCACCATGGACAACTCCTCACATGGCTCTCGTTCATCCAGCGCCTCACCCTCCACAGCGGCCATGGATACGGACAATAGCCTGATCACGTACGCGCGCTACGAGAACGGCGGCTTCGTCAGCACCCAGGAGGTGCCGCTCGACCGTGAGAATCCGCGCCGTTGTACGGCTTGCGGCAAAGTCTTTCAGAATCACTTTGGGGTCAAGACCCACTATCAAAACGTTCATCTCAAACTGATGCATCGCTGCAGCGTAGACGGTTGTAACGCAGCCTTCCCCTCGAAACGATCTCGCGATCGCCATTCGGCGAATCTCAACCTGCACCGGAAACTGCTGTCGACCTCGTCGAGTCCACCGCTCTCGTCCAGTCTGCCGCCGAGTCTATCACCGCGCGTCGACGACCCGCAGATGAACCCGTTGCTGCATAACGAGTTCCTGGCGAGACTTTATGCCGACGCCGGCATAGGTGCCTTGGGTGCATACCCTTTAGCACCTAGTTTGCCGTCCGCGATCGATTTGGCGGCTAGAATACCACCGCCGCATCCGCTGTTGCTGCCACCGCACCTCGGCGCTACCTTCCCGGGTCTTTCCTCCTTCGCATCTCACCTGGCCGGCCTGAACGGTCTCACTCATCAGCACTTGAACCATCTAACGAGACTGACCCAGGAACAGGGCAACAGGCATGTGTCCGCCTCGCCCATGTCCTCGCCAGGTTTGGACGATCGTAAAGAGGAGGCTAGATGTACTATACCCGGCTGCGAGCGCGTCTTTGGCTCCAGGGCTGTGCGGGACGCGCATTCCAGGGATCCCCAGGCCCACCGCGATTTGCCGATCCTATCCACCAGCAGTGGCTCGTGACCGATCTCGTTCTGCGGTCGCGGACACGATTATTATTCCCTACTGTGATGCCAAAATCTTAACGGCGATTCGATCCGATCGATCGATCACCGATGATCTCGTTTCTACGTAGGGTCGGCAGACGATGCGGTCCTCACGAACGTTATTCAAAACGTTCACGGACATGCATAATAACGTGCAATATCGAGCGGAGTGCATACGGGATGATCGACCATGACGTGACTGATACGATAGTCCTTTAATCAAGGTCGAAGATCTGCCCATGGAGCCAGTTCCAACGTGGTAATATTTGCCTGCCAGTTCTTTCAATTTCTCAGATTCATTCGTCAGGATAATTATTGACCTGATCTAGTCAAACTGGAAATTTTATTTCACGCGTTATCAGAAATGATAAGGTAGAAATCGCGCGCTGAATCGCTGCCGATCAATTTCGCTTGATCAATCATTGCGCAAAATATTTTGATACTTAACAAAATACTTTAATACTTTGACAATCTTAAATTCTACATTCAACAATAATAATGATGCATCAAGAAAATCTTGGAAAACTCACATGTCCAGTAAATCATCAATTTTTCAGGAAGAACGTTAAATTGTTGTGTAGAATTTTATTTAAACTGGAATGTGTTATAGCAGATTTTATTGCATAATACTTAATTATATTATATTTAAATTTCCTCTTACATTTTGAATAAAATTGAATGATTTTAATCTGAAAGGGCATAGATTTTTTTATACAAGCTGTTTAAATATTCTACTGTTTATTATAAAGCGAGAAAGAGAGTTTGATATTTATTTATAGAATGAAATTTTTATTTATATTATATACTCTATATATAGAAAATTTGTATAAAAAAATATGCAAAATTTATATATTGCACAACATTTATTTGTTCAATGTACATAAAAATTATAATTATATATATAAATTTTTTATATTTTACAATTTTACATTGATTGACATTTTTTTGAGGATCTTAGTTCTTTTAGTCAGACGAATAATATGCGTAATAATGATAATTTATACATGATAATTTTTAGAAAAAATTGAAATCTTTGAAGAAAACTAATGACAAATTTGAAAATGCCATACACAAAGATATAAAATCATTCATTTTTATTAAGAAAACAAATATCGTATTGTGCAGTATTAATTGATATTTCTATTTACAAGAAAAGTATTTTAATTTAATTAAAATATAAAATCTAGAAACTTTAGAGAAAAAAGAATGAGAATTTTGTGGGTTTTCTGATTTTTTTGATATAATTCTAAAGCGAGCAATGAAACAGCACGCGAATATATTTGTACCACATCTCCTTCGTATCATTGTGAAGAATCATAAAGAATGGGACTGGCTGACATATAAATTCAAAATTTAATGGTCGATTAAACTGCCTGATCTTGAAAATATTCATATTCGTGCGTGGCGGTCATTTTTTTCACGAGCGCGATACCGAACATGGCGAACGGTTCGGCCAAAGTGTTTCGTCTCGTCCGCTAAATTTCCCTTATTCATCGAGATCAACGGTAGTGTCACTTAATCGAGTCTCGTTATCGAGATTATTTAATCGGAAATAAGAAAAAAGAATTAACCGACACAAAAAAAAAGGAATAAGGGAAGAATGTAAAGCGGACTCGGAGGCGCGGTTCCAAAGGGCTAATTTCATCATCGTTGTGATAACATACATTTAGCGAATAATGCCACTATTTAACCAGTAATCAGTTACTACCACTGTATATAAAATATAAAACATAGTACCTTTCGATGTAAACGCGTATTATATCGATTAAGCTCTACCAACGCATCCGACGCGATATGGTTAACGATTAATTTTGTAAATGTAAAGAGGAAGCCGGACGCGTGTATCGGATAAAGAGGAGAAAAAAGAGAGAAAGAGAGAGAAAGAGAGATAAGCGATGTGTATCATGTCGCGACGACGGCAGCTAGAAAGAAATGCAATCTTACTTTAAGGAGAGGGAGCACACCCTCCATAGAGCTCCAAGGCTGAAGGGTAGGGGACGTTCGATATAGATGGACGTACAGTGGATCGACCAGCAAATCAAAGCAACGGCGTTTCGCGCTAGATAAATGAGAATAGATAGATTTTATTTATTGTTTCCTAGGAACTTCACACGACACATACATAAACACACACACACATACACACAGAGATACAGATACACAATCATTGATTCACACTAGAGCGGCCAGTAGCGGGCACTGCCGCGAGTAAAACTTCCTCCTCTAGACTTGCAAAGTCGCCTTGTCGTTTTCACATGGAAAATCAATCGGCGAATCCCGAGGATTCGCTCCTGTTGTCGAGGAAAAAAAAAATTCTTCTCGGAGTCATTCGGTCAAGAACCGGGAGTTTGCGAGCTCCTCCTAATATAATTTTTTGGTTGTACATATATACTCATTATTTTCGTATCTACGGATATAAATAATGTATAATTTGTGCCGGTGCGCGCGAGATTATTCTTCGGGAACGTGCGTATGTATGTGGTGCGCGTTTTTCTATATGAACCTTCGTTTTACATTTTCGCGAGAGAGCGAGCGAAGTTTCCCTTTCTCCCGCGACACACGACGAATCCACTATTACTACGCATTAAGAGGACGAGCGAGATTTACAATTGTAATTATGTATAAACCGAATGCTACGATGTATATTATAGATCGATTATAAAGAACACACACACTCATCATTATGAAAATAAATACCTATCAAAACTAAATTTATTGAATGTGTTTTTCCTTTCCTCTTTATATTGCACTGGTTAGCCACAGATCTACCTTAAAATTTCCCTTATCAATTTTATAATTCATCTGCAGTTGTATTATCATTACATTAATTCATTACTAAAATATTATTATTAATAATTTCATACATGACTTTTATTTATTTATAGATATTTTTATTTATTTATAAATTGATAAATCATTTTATTTATTTATAAAAAAGTATAAATTTAACATATTTCTCCTCGATTAAAACGCATATAACATTTATGAAAAGAGGATGTTTGACTAAAGAATGTGTCGAGGTCAGGATTTATACACATATCTCTTTTCGTCTTGATGGAAGATTGGGCAACGTTTCATCGAGCTTTCGATATAGATAGATAGATCCGCGTACGGAAAAATGAAATATAAAGAAAGACCTCACTCCCTGTCTACACTCTAATGCGGGGCGACCTCGTTTTCACGGAAAGAAGATCCTTCTTTTGCCAACGATGTCGGATCGTTTATCAGAAGATCTCGCGGGCGTGCACGTGCACGCCTACTATATAATTCGCGGGCATCACGAAAAAGAGAATCTCTCTGACAAAAGGCCTGTTTTCACCCTGGACTCTGCAGAATTACACTCGCGTTACAGTAATGGAACTCGAGATCTAAGTGAATATAGGTTCTCTATAATTATTTATTTATATGTGAATATATTATGAATATATGATATAGATGCTAATTATATGTACATATATATATATATATATATATATATATGTAATTGATATTATATTATGTATTTATAAATAATTATAGAGAAATAATTATGTATACACTATAGAAAGTGGAATGATATTCGGAAATATTTTAATTTTAACTTAAAATTTAAAAAAATATATATCATGACGTTTATTGCAATTTACTTTTTTGTGTACTTTATTGCTAATAAAACTTGTATTTTTTTTAGAACATAAGATGGCATCATTCCAACTTTGAATGAATACTCTTTGGAGTCTTTGGAGGAAAAGAAAGTATTATGTTACAAATTATAAAGAGTAAAACTTTTTCCAAAATAATTGTTATCAAATTATATCGTCGAACAAGCAATTATCACGTACGAAAATAGCTAGTTGTGACTCGCGTCGCAAAGTTTTGACAAATAGTTACATGCATTTATGGATCGATTTGAAGGATCTTCCGCTTAGACTGCTCATCGGTAAGTCCACCATCGCGAACAACAAGCAAAACAACGGACCAACACAATGCAGAGCACAGTAATTAGAAGTGTCTCGTAGTCGGGTCCACCCGAACGAAACGCTTAATTACACGTAAGCGAGCGGGCCTGTCGTCCTCCGGAGCAAAAGGGGGCTCGAATCGCCGTCCCGTTTGGACCCCGGCCTTTAATCGGCCAGGCAGATTAGATTAGGGATCCTTCGATTCTCGCGCAAGTTACGCTATCCCCCAACTGGGGATTAATAACGGATGCACGCGAAATCGAATCCCATCTAAACTCCAAATGGTGTTCGGCATCTCCATGAATCACATTGTAAAAAAAAGTATGAAATTACACGAACAATAAGTGTAAAATTACGCGATGAATAATAGAAATGTATAACATTTCCATGATTTAATGTGTAACTTTACTATTGTTCACGTAATTTTGTAATATTTTTTTATAATGCACGATGCAAAAATAAAAAATGTAAAAAATCTACACTTTTAAATTATTCATTTACGAAAGTGTTGCATATTTAAAATAAAATGTAGTAGTTTCAATTATGTAATAGCGATAAAATTACGATAAAATTATTCGTAAAGCTGGCGAGTAATGAGAATGATAATTAACATTACAGATTATTGCAGCAACCATTCGAGACAATTCACAGGTCCTTGATTTTCTCCTTTACTTTACGTAACGTAAAGTTTAATTCACTTTGCGCTTTAATTCAATTTCACGAAACATTGTCCGTCTGAAAAAAGTCTCATCTCTCGGAAAGCTTTTTTTTTAAGCACAATTTAAAGCATCAAGAGAAAATTCTTCTGTGTCTCTGCGAGTTTGGCACTATATATTTCTCCTTCTCTATTTTTTTTTTCCTATTCGCAAACGTGTACGTAACACCGATGTACGCGAGATAAATGGATTTAGCTTCGACCTTACCGAGTACGTGCGCTCGCCCGGCTAGAGCTTTATTCTACCACCTCTCCCGACGCTCTCGTGCGCACGACAGGTGCAGCGTGGGAGAACGAGGGTGGGAAGGTGGAGGTAGGTGCACGCTCTCTCGCAGGGAGCTCGTCACGAGGGGGGGGGGGAAGGGAAGCCAGAGGAGACAGGGAGAAGGAAGGCAAAAAGGACAAAACGGTAGAGAGAGAAGGCGGGTCTCTTCTCGGTTAACGTCGACTCGCCCATCGATTCCCCCGCGTATCCCCGTCCATTACCGTCCATATCGTATATCCCCGATCCATTGCGTCTACTGCGAGGGCCTCACCATTGCTCTCGCGTGGTCGTTTGGGCCAGCTGATCACGCTCTTGACAGCGAATCTCTGCGAAACACGGATAGGATAGAGATCCAGTTGTATGTATATTTTCATCATTACTTTAATTTTTATTTTCAAGATACAAAGTTATTGGCATTGAATAATAATTATTTAATAATTACGCGTTTTCGGACTTTATACTTGACAATCATGTAAAGAAATATCTGTTTTTTCTTCTTAATATTAATTTATTTTATATTAAAATTTAATTTTGAAAATTTTAATATCTCAATGATATAATTAAACTAAATTATTTTTTCTAAATATACTAAAAGGCAACAAAAATAAATTGATAACCCAATAAAATAAATTACGTCGCTTATAATATATCAAAACTGTCACAGATCGGATAAACA